CCCCATTTTTTCTTCTTCCCTTCTAGGACTTCTCTGAGTCCCACATGCCTTTAATGTTCATTTTTATATTTTGCATTCTTTTTAATATATACTTCAGTTTGGAACTTGTCCATTGTCTTTCATTTTAGTACTCTAATCCTGTCTTCTAAAATTTCTTGTCTACTGTGATTTTGGTGTGTGCCACTTGTGTATAAGCACATTTTTGGAGGGTGAGTACTTAGGAGCGGTAGTATTTGGTCTGGGGTTATGTGTGTCTTCACATTGGTTAAATAACTCCACACTTCTCCAGTTACCTATCTGTGTGTGTGTCTTACCTGATCTCTGTCACTACTTGTTATTGTCAAGCTTATTAATTTTAGCTACTCTAGTGAGAATATGGTGGCATTTAACTGAAGTTTTCATTTGCATTTTCTTGATCACTAAATAGATTGAGATCTTTTCTATTACCTGGATTTCCTTTTTTGTTAAGTACCCATTGAATCTATTGCACATTTTTTATATAGGATTATTGGTAGGAATTTTTAATATTCTGGATACCAGCCCTTTGTCAGTGACATACTGTAAGCATCTTCTCCCACTGTGTGGGTGGCTTTTTATTAATGGAACCTAGTAGGCAAAAGTTCTATTTATCATCTTTTCTTTTGTGGTTTGTGTTCTCTCTCTCTCTCTCTCTCTCTCTCTCTCTCTCTCTCTCTCTCTCTTTTTTATTTGAGTTGGAGTCTCTGTCGCCCAGGCTGGAGTGCAGTGGCACACTCATGGCCACCGCAGCCTCGACCTGTTGGCCTCAGGCTATCCTTCCACCTCCCCTTTCAAGTAGCTGAAACTACAGGTGTGCACCACCACACACAGCTGAGTTTTTTTATTTATTGTAGAAATGAGGTCTCACCAAGTTTCCCAGGCTGGTCTCCAACCCCTGGGCTCAGGCAATCCTCTCGCCTCCGCCACTCAAAGTCCTGGGATTACAGGCATGAGCCACTGTGCCCAGTGTTCTCTTTAAGGACTCTTTTCCTAGGCCGAGGTCACAAAGTTATTCCATTAATTTGGGACATATTATTCTGCTGTTTACATTTACTACCATCCACCTGGAATGAGTTTTTGTGAATGTTGTGGGACTGGGTTCCAGGGTCTGTTTTGTAAAATAGGTAACCAGCTGTCCCATTCTTGTCTATGGGGATGATGGCTCATGCCCTACTCCTCTGTGATGGCAGCTGAGTTATCCACACATAGGTGTATCTGTTTTGCTGTTCTATTTTATTTCATTGGTTTATTTTCTATCTTTGTGCCCATATCAGTCTCTTAATTACTGTAGTTTTATAATAAGTCTTGGCATCACTAGAAAGTTTTCCATCTTGTTTTCTGCTTCAAGAGAATCTCATATGCTTGCTTCAGTGGCATATACACTGCAGCTGGAATAATGCAGAGATGAGTATGGCCTCTGTGCAAGGGGTAATACTTACATTCATGAAGCATTTCATACTTAACAAAAAAAGGATATCTCAGCTATCCTTGCCCTTCATATTTCAGGTGTGACAGGATGCTTGTTGAGATGGCAATTAGTACTGCTTTTAATCTGAGGAGGATTAACACCTTTGCATTATTGAGTCTTCCAGCCCATGGGCATGATTTATCCCTCTATTCATTCAAATCATTTTTACTTTATCTCAATTTTTAAACAATTTTATGTGAGGAGGAGACTTTGCATATTTCTTGTCACACTTAGTCTTAGGCATTTAGTGTGTGTGTTTTAATCTTATTGTAGATAGTATCATCAACAATTTTTATTTACTATTTATTGCTAGTGTATAGAAACCAAATGGTGTTTGTATATTGATATATTCAGCAGCCTTGCTAAATTCAATTATAGAAGATTCATAAGGTGCACAGTCATGTTGTCTGCAAATAATGACAGTTATATTTTCAGTTGTTTTACCTTTTTTACCCTCTTTAGCAATGGCTAAGACTTTCAGTAAAATGTTGAAAACAGATGTCCTTGACTACTTCTGCCATCAGAGGGAAAGTTTCAATATCTGACCATTAACTATGATATTTTCTATCAGGCTCTTAAAAGATGCTCCTTATTACATTAAGGAAGTTGTTTCCTTCCATTCTGAATTTAAGAAGGATTTTTTTTTTCTGGATACATAACTTTATTTTTGGAAACCTGGGCCACCTATAGTAAAAAGCAGGTTAAACAAGGCAGTTGGTGATTTCATTTTAGTCAGAAACACACCTAATATGCATTATGGCAGCAGATCTATTGCTATTGTCTTAAATGCAGATGGGCTGTTTATATCTTTATTATTCATAATTGTTGACCAATGTTCTCTGGATGATCAGGAAACTTTTTGTGCCTCACTTGAATCACTGAAGTAATGAAAGGGGATACCTACAGCAAGCAATGCAACTGCAAATGCTGCAATCATACCTATGTTTTGCTGCATTTTCAATACTATTGAAGTTTTAATTGGTTGTTCATCATCTATGTTGTCCAATGGAGTTTGACTATTGGTAGAGGAACTCATATAGGCTGTGTTTATTTCCTCTGCAATTTCCAAATCTTCTATTTGAATCATATGATCGAACATCTCTATAAAATGGTCTCGGATTTCTTCTGCTGACTCATCACCAAATTTATAACCACATAACATTACAGTGGATCCAGGAATGGGGACAAAAACTTGGTGAGGAAGGATATGGGACTTTTTTGCAGAATCTTTTTTTTCTGGAATTTCATTCAAAATAGATCCTCAAGTAGTATTTCACAACGATCAGCAACTGTGTTCAATATATCTGTCTTTACTGCCTGCATGGCATTTTTAACCTTGGGCTTATTGCTGTGGATATAAGCTCTGCGTTTCATAGCACCCTTCAGATTTACAGAACCACTACAGACCTGGACCGTAGCTGTGGATCTGTGGTCTAAATTCAGGAGCAACTGCGTTAGCACTTTGACATCAAAAGACTGACTAGTTGCTTGAGTATTTCCTCTAGATTTTTTCTGTCCTTCTAATAGGTCACAATCTTCATCTTTAACTTGTCCATTAATCAAATAAACAACGTTTTTTATTTGCTTGGCCCAGCGTATAAGTCCATTCTTTGTATTTTTCTCCAGAGTATAGCTGATAGAAGTAGTGAAAAGTAGGATGTGAATATTAATGTGAACTGTACATTCTAAAGAAAGCCATGAGGTTGATAATCCATTTTGATATTTCCAATCTGCTGGTTTTGCTGAACTCTTTGGATCATGGATGTCATAAGTTCGACAACATTTTTTTTTTGTAGAAGAGCAAATGTGAAGTGTCACTTGTTCTAGGACCTGCTCCTCTGTAAAATTCCATATTCTCTTTCTACTTATAGACCTTTCCTCAGCAAGTATCAGTCTGCACAGGGCATTTTGAAAGCCATTTGCTAGTTCTAAAGTAGTATTAATAAATACTCCAAGAGTTCCCCTGGTAGCATTCTGGATACCTGATTGGCATGTTCTGTGACCTATTCTTCATCCAAGTTATCCAGCTTAGCTTTAGGATGTTTGAGGTTTTCAATGTGTTTGTTCCTCTTTGGGTGGTGTTCTAGTGGCAAGAATCACATAATCCTTTTGTGAAGTATGCTGGCTATTAAAAGGCTGGAGACAAAAGTCTTTCCTTGGAGACTGATGTTTGAAAGATACTGGGCAACAGTTTCTTCTACAATGTAGGTTCTCCCCATTACTCAGAACTAAGTCACCCTCCTGTTTTCAGAATGTGCACTCGTGGCAGACAAATTCATCTGTCCGCCAGAGTTCAGGGTTTAGGAACAAAGTACAGGAAGGGCTTTGGGAGGCTGAGGTAAGTGGATTGCCTGAGCCCGCGGGTTCGAGACCCACCTGGGCAACTTGACGAGACCTCATCTCTACAATAAATCAAAAAAAATTAGCCGGGTGTGGTAGCGCGTGCCTGTAGTTCCAGTTAGTTGGAAGACTGAGGCGGAAGGATCACCAGAGCATGCCACTGCACTCTAGCCTGGGCAACGGAGTGAGACTCCAACTCAAAAATAAATAAATAAATAAAATAAATAAAATTATTGACATCTTTAATTGCCCCTTTAGGTATTAGATATTTTTATACCATGTTTTGAGTTGATTATTTTTTTCTCATTTATTTCTCAGATCTCACCGTTCACTTATTTGACAGTGTTACACCTGAGTTTAATACTGTTTCAGTGGAAGTTGAGCATTCATTTGGAGGGCATGACTGTTCAGCCTGCATGCTCTGTGCCAGAGAAGTTTGAGAGTGACTGAGTAGCGACTGTCTCTTCTTCCATAGGCTACATGGGGGAATGCTAAGGCTATGCAGGCGTTGGAAGTTGACTCAGAGTTCTCGTCCCTGCCTTTGTCCTCCTACCTGGATACCCTCGGTCAGCAGGGATGGGTGTGATAGGAGGAGAGCAGATTCCAAGGTCTTGGGCCTGGCATGAGGTCCACATATATTGCTCCAGTAGCCAGTGGCTCTCTTGAGTAAGGAATGGAAACAAAGTGGTGACCCACCTCATTCGTTGTTATAAGGATTAAATTGATTATGTACCACTCTTATAAATGATATAGTTGAGGATATTTAATGTCATGAAAATGTATTCACAATGCAATGTTAATTGAGAACAGCGGGGTGAAATATAATCTCATTTCTTGAAAATTACACATAAATGTGTGTGTGTGTATGTGTATGTTTGTATACACATATATACATATATAGAATACTTTTTTCTGCTAGCTTTTCTGTATTCTAAATTTTCTATAGTAAAATCCTGTTTTATTTTTCTAGTAAGAAAAATAAATCTAAAAGTTGTTTTTAAGAAAAAACTATGATGTTCATTTCAGCATTGTGCAGAATAGTATTAGCTGGAAACTACTTGAATTTCCAGTAATATGGTAATGATATGTTTTGGGGTATTATGATTGCTATATTAAAATGTTAATTATTAGTTTCTTAAATACTACATTGCTTAGTATTTTTATTTTATTTTAGGCAAACTTTGGAGTCGGAGTTTAAAACTAGCTTATACTCTACTTAATAAATTGACTAGTAAGAATGAACCACTACTTAAACCTGGAGACAGAGTAAGTAACTAGACTGTTACATTATTGAAGTGAGCAAAAACAGAGACTTTAAAATCTGTTTCATTGAAATCAGTGTTCTATTGGTTGGTTAGAATTGTAACACTAATATAAGGGATTTAAAGTCAGCAATGAAGAAATATTAAATATGGACTAAGTTTGTGATATGGAGTAAAATGACATTCTTCTTATTCTCTCATTGTCCACATCCATTGATCCATATTCTTTTCTGTTTGACTTTATATATGTTAATATTAAAAATGTTAAATTTTCAAAGCATATATTTTACAAGTCAACATTGACCCTACTTTGAAATTTCGTTTCCTTTTTATTTATCTCCTGCCCTATCCCAGGTGTTCAGGCAACCTCCTCTCACTCGTTTGCCAAAGTGGAAGTCACAGAGAGCTAGAGGCATATTCTCTTGTGCTACACTGCCCTAATGGTTGGCAGTAGCTACTTGAGGTTATTTAATTAACCAAAATTAAATAAAATTAAAAATATAGTTCCTTGGTTTTACAAGTCACATTTTAAGGGCTCAGTAGCCACATGTAGCTAACCAATAGCCACTGTATTTATAGCTCTGAGATAGAATTTCTGTCATAGTAGAAAGTTCTATTGGACAGTGCTGCAGTAGGTACGCTGAACCAGACTTGAGGACCCCCGAGTATACTAGAAGGCTTAGGGTGGAAAACAGGAGAATATGGTGCAAATCAACATATTTGCCAATGAAATCCCCTAGTGAAAATTTTGCTTGTGTCAGATCAAGGAAATTGCATGTTACGCTGACAATTCCACATCACTCTTTCAGTGCCTCACTCTTTAATATGACCTAATAGCCAAGGATGTCTAAGAGGGAAACACCATTAAGGAAGAAAACAACCAAAGGCAACAAAAAAGGGGGGGAGGAGAGAGAGTTAGAGGGAGTAAGCAAAGACAGACAGAGAGAGAGAGGAAGAAAGAAAAGAGGGGAAAGTAGGGAAAACGAAACAAACTTTGAGGGGCTAGATATGGAAAACAATGTTTTTAAAAGTTAGTATTAATATTCCTGGAGATCTGAGATGAAAACGTAGTTCTATAAATCAAGAAAAGGACACCAGTAGGAAAAACCAAGAGATGAAAAGTAGGAGGAAAAATAGGAGAGAATCAAAGACTTGATCAAGAAGGCCCAACATCTGACTGATAATAGGAGTCCAGAAAGAGAACAGAGAATAGATAGTAGAACATTTTAAATCATGATGGTAATTCAGGACAATATCCTTGACCTGGAGAACATAAATATGCAAAGAGTGAATACAGTAGGCTCATACCAAAACATGTTCCCATGAAACTCCATAAAACCAGAGGTACAGAAAAGAATCTGAGAGCTTTCAGGGGAGAAAATATAGGACATATAGAAGAGATCAACAATCTCAATGGCTTTGGGACTCCTCAGTAGTAAAACTGAGAGATACTGGAATGATGCTTCAAAAATTCAGAGGGAATATGACTTTTAACCTGTAGTTCTATTCCCAGAGATTCAACAGATTTGAGGATGGCCTTATCATTTTCAGACGTGCAGGACTCAGAAACATTTGGGTCACAAACACTTTTTCTTGGCAAGTTCCTATGGTGTGCTTCAGCCCCATGAGTGATTAGGGATAGAACAGCCACAGTGGAGATCCCAGGATTACCACAGGCAGTGGATTGAGGGGCAGACTGGATGGGACTTAGGAGGATCAAGGCCCCAGGGTCGAGACGGAGTGGTCAGCAGCAGGTAGCACTCATGGGTCTACCTGATGGGGTGGTTATTTGGAAAATAGCATTGGTAGGTATTTGACACATCTGATGGAGCATGTTAGAACAAATTAGCTAGTGTACACATAGAAAACAAAGCAAGTAAAAATGATGATGGCTGTTACCATCATAAAAGAGAGGAAATGTGTGCTGACTATAAAAATATAAACATTATAAGAATGATACTTTATGATATGTTGTTCTTATGTATGAAATTTTAGGTTGTGCTTTAGGATGAACCTGTAAGAATCCCTGATTTATATTATGCTTTAGAGTAAATCTAAGAATAACTAATTTATTTTTCTTGAAAAAAATTATTGCAAGGATGGCTTCCAGATACTTTTCTGACTTGCAAGAGAATCTATGTATTTATGTTAATAAGATTGACAAGGTGATAGTGAATGAGATAATTATCAGAAATTGGTGGCAAATCCAACTTCCCATAATATTATACTGTATAAAAGTGAACACAACTCTTCATAACAAATTCTGTAAAAATATTTTTTCCATTTCAGATATCTAGTCTCAAAGTTATAAGTTACCATTTTAGGATAACCACTATTAAAACCAGCTTTTGAAGGAGTGATTTGCCCTTTTCAACAAACTTGTTAGAAATTAAATTTCCAGAACTCACATACAGATTTAAGTATAGATATAGCTTACATTGTATCTTATGATGCGAAAGATATTGGTTATTTATCATTTTATGTTTTCAAAGGCCCTGTGTCTACTCAGTTAAATACTATTCTGACTTATCACTTATAGTTCCAGCACAATTATTATAATATTTGGGGCTTAAAAATGTATTCTTTAAATAGCTTTTAATTTAACCAGATATTGTAAAAAATGGAAACTGGGATGCTGGGAGAAGGGAAAGGAGAAGGAATGAGAAAGGACTAAATATTAATTTACAGTAACTGGAAGTAAAATAGATACCTAAAAATCATTAAAAACCCAACTATAGCAATGTAAATGTAATATTGTTAAAAATAGAAGAGTAAATAACAGAAGAAATATCTAAAATTTTTTTAAATGGTTACTTTGAGGAGTAGGGAAAAGTGGGACATGGGCTGTTGCTTTTGTTTAGTGCTTTTGCCATTTTAAATTTTTTTTTTTTTTTTTGAGTTGGAGTCTCACTCTGTCGCCCAGACTGGAGTGCAGTGGCTGCTCCCGGCCACCGCAGCCTCGACCCACTGAGCTCCAGCGATCCTTCCGTTTAAGCCTTCCGAGTAGCCGGAATTACAGGCACGCGCTACCATGCCCGCCTGATTTTTTGATTTATTGTAGAGATGAGGTCTCACCAAGTTGCCCAGGCAGGTCTCGAACCCGCGGGCTCAGGCAATCCACTCACCTCAGCCTCCCAAGGCGCGGGATTACAGGCTGAGCCACCGAGCCCGGCTTAAATTTTTGATAAAAATTGAAATGTAAGATAAATAAAGTAAAACTTATCATTTAAACAGTGGCATCGTGGTGACCAGATAGAACCAGGTAGTGGGCCTGTCCCCCAACCATGGGGACTAGAGAAGGCTGTGGATATCTTGGCTGGGAACTTCTCTACCCATCATACTTTCCTGCTGATATACTTAAGTCTTGAGTAAAGATCTGTTAAATTAAAACCTTGATGTTAGGATTTCTTCTTTTGGAAGCTATTATTTTAGATATAATTGAATTCTTTGTTCACTTCTCATGTTGGTAAAAGTGTTTTTAACCTGGGCTAATGGATGGCAGGTACTGGTCAGTGTGAATGGGAACTAGATCTGGAGCCCACAGCCAGATCCAAGTTAGACTGCCTTTAAACCCAGAGACTTAAAATTATTTTGCTGCATGTGCTGTTTATTAAAAGTCAAATGAATAAGGAAATTTAAGGGCTAGAATTAATCCCAAAATTAGGTTTTCTGAACTAGATTTGGAAAATTATTTAAAAAATCTAAAATGTCTGAGTGCTGTCTAATTAACAGAGATTCTAAAAGTTGAAAAAGCTCAATGATTCCCAAGTAGATTTCATGATTTTTCTTTGTACTATTGTAGGTGGCGCTTGTGTTTCCAAACAGTGACCCTGTGATGTTCATGGTTGCATTTTATGGGAGTCTCCTAGCAGAGCTGGTTCCTGTACCCATAGAAGTGCCATTAACAAGAAAGGTAGCACACAGTCCTATTCTGAACTTGAGCATTGACACAGTCATTGCCTTCACTCCAGGGCATGGACGGCAGTAAGCCGCTATTTTGACAGAGGAGAAGAAGGTACTAACAGGCAGGCCAGCCAGGACTTGAGAGAGAAATTAGATACCAGATATTCTTCTTTACCCACTTTGTTGGTGAGAGGGCACTGAGAACAGTTTTGCTGGTGATGATCCCATACTCTTAGGTGGAGCTATTCTATTACCTACTTTAATTTCACAGCAGAAATTATAGGCATTTTTTCCTCTAGTGAATAGAATTTATGATTTAATAAGATTTTATTAAACTTTTCCTCAAAACCATATGTTTGTCAACAATAATTTTCATTTCTTAGGGATTAGTATATCATAGTGATATATTTATGACTCACTTCTCAGTGGCAGTTTTGAATAAACAAGAATGGAAATTCTCTTACATTTCTGTTTGCTTGCATGACAGAAGGCAGTCTTTTTTTTTTTTTTTCAGTTGGAGTCTCACACTGTCACCCAGACTGGAGTGCAGTGGCTACTCCTGGCCACCGCAACCTCAACGTGCTGGGCTCCGGCGATCCTTCCGCCTCAGCCTTCCAAGTAGCTGGAACTACAGGCGTGCGCTACCATGCCTGGCTAATTTTTTTTATTTTATTGTAGAGATGAGGTCTCACCAACTTGCCCTGGCGGGTCTCGAACCCACGGGCTCAGGCAATCCACTCACCTCAGCCTCCCAAAGCATTGGGATTACAGGCTGAGCCACAGAGCCCTGCTAGACGCAGTCTTTGTTATTGATAAATTATTAATGTGGGGGACTTGCTAATGTTCTAGGTTGCTATAAGATTTTAAATTAATATTAATAGACTACTGAAAAAATACCATTTAGGAGTAGATGAGGCATATATTTTAGAAAATTGGAGTTTTCTGTCATCCTGTGCCAATGTTTAGGCAATTAGTAATGTGAGCATTGTCCACAAGTATTCAAAAATTCCAAAAGTAAAATTTGCAAATAAAACCAGTATGTTTCAGAGGATAATATAATGGACATATATTTGAATACAGTGATTCTTAGGGAAAAAATAGAGATTTGTCAAACTTACATGAAGAAAATGATGTAACTTTGCAGGAGGACATATATAACAGAAGATTTAACTAAAAGAAAACACATTTCTGTGTGGAAATGATTAATATTGTTAAAGGTCAGACCTCCTCAGGTTAATTTGTAAATATCAATAGAAATTTCAATGCTGTTAATTTTTAGAGTTTATAAAATTCTTCTAAATGTCATTTGCAGGAATAAATTTTAAGAAATTAGTTCATTATCCAGAACTTTATATTTCATCGCAAATACCAAGTAAAAATATCTTTTAAATTAAAATAATTGTTATATTCTTATGGACTATTTCCATGAAAATATAATATGTATTAATAAGCAAGACTGAATTGTTTAAAAGTTTTTTGAAGGGTGAAAAAAAAAAAAGAGTTTTATTTTCTGTGCATGACCTGGAGCATTAAGTGAGGCTGTGGCTCCTGTGAACATCCCATTCCCGCACTGTTGTTTTGTTTGCTGCAGGATGCAGGCAGCCAGCAGATTGGGTTTCTGCTGGGCAGCTGTGGAGTTTCCCTGGCCTTGACCACAGATGCTTGTCAGAAAGGCCTGCCCAAGGCACCAACAGGAGAGGTGGCAACTTTCAAAGGTGAGGTCTCCCAAGAAAAGGGTTATGACTGGAATCTTTGTTAAACTATACCCTTGGGTGTTATATAAGCTGAAGGGTCTTTATCAAAAGTGATCCCTTGTTCAAGCCTTAATGAATCTCAATTTTCATCTGACTCAGTATCTCAACCTACACTGTCTGATATAGTAGCCACTGGCCACATGTACCTTTTTAAATTAAAGGAAGTAGGCCCGATTTGGTGGCTCAGTCTGTAATCCCAGCACTTTGGAACACCAAAGGGAGTGGATTGCATGAGACTGCGGGTTTGAGACCAGCCCAGGCAACTTGGCGAGACCTCATCTCTACAATAGATAAAAAATTAGCTGGGCATGGTAGTTCCGGCTACTTGGAAGGCAGAGGCAAAAGGATTGCCAGAGCCCAGCAGGTCGAAGCTGGAGTGGCTGTGAGCGTGCCACTGCACTCCAGCCTGGGCGTCAGAGTGAGACTCCAACTCAATGAATGAATGAATGAATGAATGCACTCCAGCCTGGATGACAGAGTGAGACTCCAACTCAATGAATGAATGAATGAATGAATGAATGAATGAGTAAATAAATAAGAAATGAAACTAAAACTTGATTAGCTGGTACTGCGTATTAGGGGCATAGGCTCTGAGTATGAGGGGCAGAGGCCCCTGCTTGAATGCCATGCTGTGTCCTGCCTATACGGTCACAGGTTGGCCCCCACTCTCCTGGCTGGTGATTGATGGGAAGCATCTTGCCAAGCCCCCCAAGGACTGGCACCCTCTAACCCAGGATGCAGGATCCGGGACTGCCTACATTGAGGTAATGACCTCTCTTAACTCAGAGCACGCAAAACATATTTTTTCATAAAACTGTAAGTTGCTAATTTTTAAAAAATTTCAGGCTAAGAATTCTCATTATGTTTTATGAGAAATATAAAGTGTCGTATAGAACCTTACTCAGATCCTTTCACCTTACTGGCCTCCCTGCCTAATTCCATCTTACTGGCCTCCCTGGGGATGTGAACTGTCTTGCTTAATTCTCACCTTACTGGCCTCCCTGGGGATGTAAACTGTTTTGATGGAGCCCAGGTATACCATTGCCCTCAGGCATCTGCCCAAGAGGCGTCACAACTTTATCTGAAGTGTCCCCCACAGGCCAGGGCATCTGCTCTTGGGCTTAATGAGATGGTTAGTGAAGGAGAAACAATAATTGCTTCTTTTTAAGATTCCATCAGCCTCTGTCTATCATGGCCTCTAGAAATACCACATAATGGTTATTTTCCTTGAAATCTTTCAGTATAAAACCAGCAAAGAAGGCAGCACAGTGGGAGTCACAGTGTCCCATGCGTCCCTGCTGGCACAGTGCCAAGCCCTGACCCAGGCATGTGGGTACTCAGAAGGTAAGGGTTCTTGGATGCAGGCGCAGTGACCCTTCCAGCCTTGCACAGGTACCTGACATGCTTGATCACACAACTGTTGCTGCTCCTGTCAAAACCACCCTGGGTAGTGCCTTTGCCCCTTAATCCAGGTCATACAAGGTAAGGAGATGTACTACCTCTTGGCATGCTCGTGGGATCTCTTTGGTTGTGCTGGTTCAGTGGATATAAGTATTGATGAGTTTAAGTGATCTCTCAGCAGCCTCGGCAGTCCCATGCAGGGTTGTTTTGAGTAAATGCATGTATATGTTGATTTTTATGGCGTATGAAACTTATATGCCAGCAATTAGTTTATGCACAGTGCTGGATTCACAGGCCAGCCCCAGTAGGCTGGTTCAGTCTCTGACATACTGAAGGGCAGGGAATTTTGCATTTAAAAAAGGAGGAAACACCCTCATTTTTATATTACTATATCTATTACTGTAGTTTTAACTTAAGCTGTCATGTAAATATACAAGTGGAATTTTTATAGTCATAAATTATATCTTGGTAAAGTATAGGTTGCCCTTGACTTACTGTTAAGTAGCAGATAGTTAACTTAAGAAATATTTTAAAATTAATTTTAAAATTATTATTATTTAAATTGATAGATGATAATTATGTATTTATAGAGTACAACATGAGAAATGTTATTTTAAGAACTATAAAAATAGATTCATGGTAGTTTTCTTACATTGCAATACTTGAATTGAACAAAACTAGAAAGTGAAATTGAATGTATTTTAAATATCTAAAAGGTAGGTGTTTAAAAGCAAGGGACAGCTTAAGGGCTTAACTGACCCTTTTAGTGGAGATTTGGAAAATGATGTTAGGTTTTGTCAAGGACTTTAATAATTTAAAGAGTTAGATCTATCAAATCAAGTCCCATGGGTTTCTTTGTCTTCAGTCCAGTGCTAATCTTACATGTGTCACTTGTAACTTTATTTAGTTCTTTAGCTGGGCGTGGTGGTGTGTACCTGTGGTATACACCCGTAGTCCCAGCTTCTTGGAAGATTGAGGTGAGAGGATCGCTTGAGCCTGGGAGTTCTGGGCTGTAGTGTGCTATGACAATTGGGTGTCCTCAACTGTTTCAACATCAACATGGTAATCTTCTAGAAGCAGGGGACCACTAGGTTGCCTGAGGAGGGGTGAACCAGCCCAGGTCGGTAATGGGACAGGCAAAACTTTTGTGTTATTGAGTAGTGGGATCATGTGTAAGATTAGACACTGCACCCCAGCCTGGTAGCATGGCAAGATCCTATCTTTTAAAAAAATAAAGATAATTTGGGTTCGTTAGCTAACAGAGAGAGGATGTCTACAGTATTGTTATTTATAATGCAGCAGCATTTCCTGGCACACAAATTGAGCCTCTCCTGTTCATCTTTGGCTCTTTCTCAGTGGGTACATCTGGGGGTTGCTGTGGCCTTTGGTGCAAAGCCAGATCTGTGCACAGCCCCAGGCTTTGTCTTCTCTGCCCACGCGAGGCTAGAGTCAGGTCCCAGAGAGGATGTGACTGTGGGCTCCAAGCAGAGAGCTGTGCTGGAAACCCTCAGGACCTCCCTAAAACACATCAGTTGCTTACCTCTGGATGAGGAGACAGGCAGAGGAGAAGTGACTTTCTGGCAAGTGACATGAACCACCAGTTGTTACAGAGATGTTACAACATGACCTTCCGGGGGTGGTGAGGATTGGGGATATCTGGGTGTAGAATTGAGATGTAAGAATATTCATGACAGTTCCTCATCCCCACCTCTTGAATCTGAAAAGAATGTCCATTCAAAACATCTGATGAAAATAGGTAATGACACCTTACACAACTTCTTAAGTATTCAGACTTGTGGTCAGCCTGGTCAGCCAAATTCTGTGTCAGTCCAGAATTGGATGACCTTCTGCTTTTATGTGCTTCCAGTAATTTGAATAGATATAACCAAGATTATTGATGAATTGGTACATGGTATTTGGAAAAATTGTATCTGTTCCCTAAACCTTTACATGTTGATGTACTCATCTCAGAATTTCTCTAGAAAATGCATTTGTGGAGAGGGTTGTTTAGCATTTTAATCTTCTTTGTTCACTTTCAGCTGAAACATTAACAAATGTGCTGGATTTCAAAAGGGATGCTGGTCTGTGGCATGGAGTGTTAACAGTGAGTGTTGTTTGCTGATGACTAACTGTTGGCACAAGGGATTGAGATGAGCCCAAACCTTGCCTGAAATATTGTTGTGAGAGTGCACCAGTTTTGTTTTGCTTTTTCTGGTGTGACTCAGTTCTTCTCACCCTTGAGCAGATCCATTTCTCTCACAGAGTGTCATGAACAGGATGCATGTGGTCAGCATCCCCTATGCACTGATGAAAGTTAACCCGCTCTCCTGGATTCAGAAAGTGTGTTCCTATAAAGGTAACAGATAATGCCATCATGGCCCTCATCTTTCCTTAAAGAAATCTCTTTGAACTGATCTTTGGTGATTAAAAAATAAATAAAACTGACATGTGGAACTGCAGATGTGGGCTGAGAACCTAGGATGTTCATCTTGGTCTTGCCCAGGGACTGGGGGTGTGTAGAGGTGTTTGAGTCCCTGCCTCTGGCTCTGGAGTGTAGTCCTGCAAGCTGTCATGTACCTGCACAATCTGTAACAGATGGGGCTATCTGATGAGGTCTGAGTAGTATGGAGATGTCAGCTGTCCATGTCTGTCCTATTTTATGAAGGAAAACTGAAGCATAGGTGGGGCGATTAATTGGGTGCCACATACTTGTTAATGAACTGCCAGGACTCAGGACTGAGTCTGTCTGTTCACGTCCTGGAGTCTACCGCCCTCATGACCTAGAGATTTCCAGCACGTAATAGGTCAGTTGACATGGCCACAGGAGCAGCCAGGCATCCTTAAACCAGTGCCAGTAGCTTGGGGAGGGGCAACATGAGACAAACAGGCAGACATGAAGAGGAATATAGAGCTTTGGAGATAAATTAACGTTGAAAATGGATCTGAGTTTATTACATCTTAAATTATACCTCAGAGTTGAGTTTTTAGGGAAAAAAAATTGGAGTTTGGTTAGACTACATGTGAGACAGTACAGAAAGTCTGCAACCAGGGACATAAGTTTTGTGTCTCTTTAATATGTGTGCAACTCCATGTAGGATGAGGCGTGTGCATGTTTGTAGGAGTGTGAGGTTGTCAGTCCTTGTCATGATGCAGGGACATCTGTGCTACCCTCTTTTTGTAGCCCGGGCTGCACTAGTGAAGTCCCGAGACATGCACTGGTCTCTCCTAGCTCAGCGGGGTCAGAGGGACATCAGCCTCAGCTCACTGCGCATGTTGATTGTGGCCGATGGTGCTAACCCATGTGAGTAAGCCTGTGTGACCCAGGGTACCGCCCTCCCAGTGTCCTCTCCTACAAACCGTAACTTGCCAGGTAGACAAAATAGACTATGTTGAGAAGCAAAATTGAGGAGTTTTAGCTGCCAATGTTACATAAAGTATAAATGTCCTATGAAATATCACCTCTTGTTGGTGACTCACCATATGTCCTGCATACTTACTAGGGCACTAAATTTAAAAGCAGTTTTAACACAGTTGATGAAAGGTACATGCCTTAGTGAGAGTCATCTTTCTTAAGACATCTTTCTTAAGATTGTTCTCTGGCACAGAGGTCCCTTGTTGGGCCTCATTCTGAGCCTCCTGCCCTTTGTCCTGGTGCCCCCTACCTCTCTGGCTTCTGGCCCCAACTTCCCCCACAGGTACCCGACCATTCTTCCTCTGTGTGCCCCAACTCCCCTGAGAAGAGTTCCCCATGGCTGCTGCCTGAGCATCTAGGACACCCCTGTATGCAGCAATCTGAGTCTTTGCTGCTGTGTGGGTGCAAGTATGAGCTTCCTCGGGGATATCCTCTGTGGTAGCCTCAGGTGACATTTGCTGAACAGGTACTTCTTTGTGCAGCAGAGCCTTTCATTTTATCCCTTCTCCAGTGTCACCGATACCTTGTGTTCCCATATCCCCATCTCTTGGGAGGGCACCCCACCTTCCAGTGCCCTCAGAGCTTCTCCTTCCCGCAGTCTACACCTGAGCCAAACAGGGGCTGCCTCTAGGTCCTGTGGCATTGCTTGCATCTCTGTATCCCCACACCCTCGACCTAGCCACCTCTTTGCAGTCTACATGGCAAGTCAGGGGGCACCCCTTCCCTCCAGTGCCATCTCCTCAACGATCCTCCCCAGTCACTGCATCTAATCCTCACAGTTCCTCAAAGCTTCCCCACTGTGGGCTTCTGCATGCAGCACCTGCCCATCCCAGATATTGCCACATCCACACCTCCTGTGGCACTGAACAATCTGCTTATCTGGTTCCTTCAAAGACACCTTTTCCTTTGAAGAGTATGAAATTTGAGGGCATCTGTGCATGGCCCCTTCCTTTTGCTGGAGCAGAGAAGATTATGGTGAAGCCCTGGGGTCCTGATGATCACCAGGCTGTGCCAATGTGGGCGTGTGCAACCACCAGACCGTGTCCTGACACACCCCAGAGAGCGTGTGCTCTTTAGTGCTTGCAGTCACCACTTCTGTTCCCCTCTTGTTTCTCCGTGTAGGGTCAATCTCCTCCTGTGATGCCTTCATTAACGTCTTCCAGTCCAGAGGTCTGAGGCCAGAGGTCATCTGTCCTTGTGCCAGTTCTCCTGAGGCACTCACAGTTGCCATTCGCAGGTAACTTCATTCTTTGCTTATGTCTTGTGACACATACAACTGAGTCACCTGTGGCATAAAGTCTGTCTAACCTATTTCTGAGCAGCAGGAATCCTGGAATAGGGCCTGAACCTGACAGGATCCAGGCACATTTCTGCAGCAGCACTGTGACCCCACCCTCCTACTTGCCAGCCTGGATTTGCACTGGAGTTGAGTAGCATGGCTCCCTAGCCATGTTTTGAATGTTTGCAGAACATTGGCTTGTTACTTTCCTAAGTGCTGCTTCCTGAGTCAGGAGGTTCTTGTCATCTCTTCCTTTGCCATAGCAAAAGTTATAACCCAGGAGTGACTTGTTACTGTGAGGCAGGGGACTATCAGTCACGAAGTCTGTCTGTGGGAACCGTAGACCTGCCTGGGGAAACACCTGCCCCGAAAGGCCCCCGCTGCTCTTGTGGCAGTGTTCTTCATGTCATGTCTCTCACCATGGAAGGCATGTCGGGGGCCTCCACACTACCTTTAGTGTCTTCATGCATGGATACTGTGCTGTTGGTCCTTCCTGTGCTCCGGCCAAGCCAGGGCCTCTTGCTTTTTCTTTGCTGCTCATCTTCCCCAGTCTGTGGGCAGAGGTCACTGTGCTTGTAGTTGAGGGTGTCTTCTGTTTAAATTTTCTACTATCAACTCAATCATTACAAAGATAGTCTTAGTTGTAGTCTTATATTATCTTCATATATACTCATATATTCATAAATAGTATGTGTTTACATTTATGTAACCGTTAAGTAATCCTAAATTTATAATAACTTAGCAATAAAAGTAACACCATTACCCTTTATAAACTATAAATTATTCTTCACTCCTGTGTTCTGTGGTGATTTGTTTTTCCAAACTTTGTTGCTTAGTGCTCCAGTACCATTGCTATATCACACATACTCCCAAACATAATGGCTTAAAACAGCAACAGTCATTTTATTATCTCTTATGCATTCTGTTAACCAGGAGTTTGGAAAGAGCTCCACTAGGCAGTTATGACTTGCAGTAAAATGGTGTCTGGACTGAAATCGTTGGGGGGCTGAGACACCTTCATACGTGCATGGTCACAGGGATCCCCACATCCCTCGGCCAATCTCAGAGTGAACTGCTCTGGGCTTCCTAACCATCATAGTGGCCTCAACAAGGTCTTCCTGCTTACCTGGTTGCCCAGGGCTCCAGGTGTCTTGAATATCCCAAGACAACCAGATGGTAGCTGAATCACCTTTTGTGACCTGTCTTGGAAGTCATATGTGTCATTGCCGCCATTGTCAGATGCCCATCTCCCACTGAGAGGCAGGTCGAGGTCACATTGGAGAGGGGCACGTGGTTTGGAAACATCTCTGTGTCTTTAGAACTTGCAGGTCTCACCAGGCTGTAACAGAACAGTGGCTTTGGTAAAGAATCATGCTGCAGGCAGGGTGGGCCATTAGTCCCATCTCCCCTGGAATTTTGTTCCCTTGAGTTAACTCAGTTGTATTTTTGTCTCTTAGGCCACCTGATCTGGGAGGACCTCCTCCAAGAAAAGCTGTCCTATCAATGAACGGTCTAAGTCACGGGGTGATCAGAGTTGACACGGAAGAAAAGCTGTCAGTTCTTACTGTCCAGGATGTTGGTCAGGTGATGCCTGGAGGTAAGGGACATACCAGAGTGGGCCTTTGTCCTGCGAGCAGCCACATAGCCAGAAGGATCACAAATGCCCTGGGCTTGTAGCAGTACTCTAGAAGCAAGCATACAAGGAAAAGATTTCCCAAAATTGTTTTTCAGTACACATTGGGGTTTAATGTATAGACTATTTTTTCAAGTTGTTTCCTTCCTTTGTGTGAAGTTTAAAGATGAGCTGAAATATAAGGATTTGTTTGTGGACTGTGAAACTGACTCCCAATTCCCTGGTGTTGGGGGAATGGTGATGATAACTCAGTGCACACCAGGCAGTCTCCATACTTCACACATGTTGCAGCCTGTAACCCCATGGCAACCCCATGAAGTGAGTAGCTCTAAGGAGAACTATATTTGTGAATAACTTTGATAAATAGGTTATCAAAGAAACTGTAGTAGGTACATGTTGTGGTGGGAGCCTAAATGTGTCAGTTTCTCGGAAATTCCTGTGGGTTTCAGAAAGCCCCATGTGTGGAAGTCAGCTCTGAGGGCTTGAACATCACATTAGGTTTCAGGGACTTTTCTTGCCAGCCCCTAGGCAGTGCAGCGAGCACAGGGTGATTGAGCAGTCTCCCTGCATAGGAAGCCCAATTTCAGGAAAATCAAGGGCAGAGCTCAGAGACCTTGGGGAAGGTCTTCTTCCCATACAGGCCCTTCAGGGGCTGTTGCAACTCTGAGCCTGGACACTTCCCTGTATCTCCCAGAGTAAGGCAGGGCCAGGATAGGCCCTGCTGCCAAGATCTGGGAGTTAGCATGCTTCCTACAGTCCCAAAGGTGACTCTGGCCCACAGGAAAGCCCTCAGGCAGCCTAGTGATGGTTGTGAGTTGGGATGCTGTCATGTGGGTCTGAGGCCACCACTCATCGTGGCTGCCACAGCTGCACCAGTTTTGCCCCTCCCCATGACGGCCCTTTGGGGACCACAGGCAACTGTCTTGGCCCCTCTTGGTGACAATTCTAGAGCATGATCCCAACCCCTAGTACTGCCCTGACTGTGTTAGAGGTTGTAGGCCCTGCAGGCCACCCAGCGTCCTGGCCCTCGTACTTCCCACATTCAGCTGTGCCAACAGCCCATTGGCCACCCCATGCAGGGGTAGAGCCTGCGTGGAGGGCTGGGCAGCCCAACCAGTCCCAAACCTGGAGTTTGGGGCCAGGTGGTACCTGATTTCTGTTGTGTGTGAAAGGTGGGGACTCTTTGAAAAAGACTACAGATTTAAGCTTTAGTTCTAGCGACATGGTTTATAAATGTGAATTGTACCATTTTCTTCTTGAAATCCTACCCAGATGGAACCATCAGTGTTGTAGAGTAGTAGAACCTGTAGGTAAAACATTTTTACAAAGTGTGACAAATGGGATCTTATTTATAGTAGGAGGAAAGTGCAGGTAACTTTTCTCCTTATTATTCTAAATGACTCATTATTCTAAATGAACATGAGGACCATTTATGGTTGTGCTCATGTTCTTTTATTAGTAGGAAGTGGATTAGGACAGAACATGTATGTACAGTGTGACTGAAGCCTGTGTGTGTGTGTGTGTGTGTGTGTGTGTGCGCGTGCGCGCGCAGTCCTCTGTTAGGCATTTGTATGTGCAGTGCTCCCCTAGGTATGTGTGTTTCGTGCTTCCCTATGTGTTTGTGTGGTACTCTCCTAGGCGTGTGTGTCCAGTGCTCCCCTAAACGTATGCGTATGGTACTCTCCTAGGCATATGAACAGAATACTCCCCTAGGTATGTATATATGCGTAGTATTCCCCAAGAAGTGTATAGCATACTGCTCCCCAAGGTGAGCCTCTTTTTTCTGCCACCCTCCTGTGCCCCTAGCTACAGGACTAACCAGCACTGTGATTCTTATGGTGTCTTGTCCCGACTTCTGTGTTCACCACATCAAGTGGATCTGTGGCCATGTGTGCCTTTCTGTGATCTGAAATCCAGCTCTGAGCATGCCTGTGTGCATCAATGTGGAGCCAAGGGCCACCTGGGTGCCAACACAGATTAGCACCATTCTCCGCATGGGCTGAATGCATCAGTACTTGTGCTACAAAATCTTTTATTGATTTCTGTCACGCAGAAACAAATGTCTGATTTTCTCTGTACTTCTTCTTGCTTACTGCCTTTGAGAGGAGACTATATTAGATGAAACTCAAGAGAAGGCACAAGAAGGGCAGCTCCTAGCTGTCCATGGCTTAGTTGGTCACTGAGGAACCAAGTTTCATTTAATGGGCCACTGCACGTTTATGTGTGCATCTCATGTTTTTGTGAGAGACTGTTTCTGGAGACCTCTCTGTGGCAGACCAAGAATGAGATAGACAAGTTCCCACATGAGAGCACCAGGTAGCAGACAGGGATTTGGGTAGTGTGCACTCCAGTGAAAACAGGACTGGGTTATAGGGCCGTGGGAGAGTCTGCACCTAGGCCTATACCATAGGAAGGAGGCAAGCACCAGGCAGGGCTCTAGGTTGGCAGCCACTCTTGAGTAGGAGAGAAAATTGGTCAGAGCCAGGTAGATAACATCCCACATGGGCTTGAGGGTGATGCGAGAAGAGCCATAGAGTCTGCATGTCTGAGAGAAGATATTTGTCAACCTTGGCTTGTGTCATGAAGGATGTGTTGTACTGTGTAATCATCTTACACAGATCATAAGGATATTGTATGTAGAGCAGAAAGACTTGTGACTAGATAGTGCATGCATCATTCATGTCATGAGACTCCTTTTTAAGAACATGCATGTATAATGTCCTGTTATATAGCAGCAAGTAGATCTTGAATGATCCACACATTCTTCATTTGTGATTCTGAGGGTTTTTTTTTTTTCTTATTTCAGCTGATGTGTGTGTCGTGAAGGTGGAAGGTACCCCTTATCTTTGTAAGACTGATGAAGTTGGAGAAATATGTGTCAATTCCAATGCAACTGGAACAGCATACTATGGATTACTTGGCATCACAAAGAATGTGTTTGAGGTTTGTGCCTTTTCCTGATAATCATGTGGAAATTGTGTCCTGTGAGCATTGGTAGGGCCTGGGTGTGCATGGGGCCAGGGTGAGCACAGAGTCCTTGGAGATGGTCTCTCTCCCATGTGGGCTTTCCAGGGGCTATTGTGACTCTGAGCCTGGGCATCCCCCTGCATCCTCCCAGAGCGAGGCAGGGCCAGGGCAGGCCCTGCTGCCAAGAACTTGGAGTTAATCTGCTCCCTACAGTCCCAAAAGTGACCCTGGCCCATAAGAAAGCGTCAGCATGCCTCGGAGGAAAGCAGTGTGCTGCATCAGTGGTTGTGATGCACATTATTCAGGACAAGTCTGGTAAGCCTGCTGAAGTCATGCACTGGAGCAGAGAAAGAAGGGTACTGTTCCTGCTCAGGTGGTTCATCCTGGAGATGGATCAGCCATGCCAAAGAAAGTGGCCTGCAGAGGGCCAGGCTGGGCTGTGAGAGCCTCTTCTTCATCGCCAACAGTCGTGTTTGTGGTGCTGAGCTGTCCTGCTGCCTACAGGTCTTTTTGGCTAGTCGGTTGATCATCAGCAACTCCCCTCCACTCTCTGCAGACTGTTCCAGTTACTGCAGGAGGAGCACCTATCTCTGACAGGCCTTTCACCAGGACGGGCCTGCTGGGCTTCATTGGACCTGTGAGTATGTCCTCATGTGCAGGACCAGTGTCGGGAATCTCAGGGCATGGATAGGGGACACCTCTTTGCTGTCAGGTTCTCATCCCACTGTCACCAACCTTCTGTTTGGTTCATCACGATGACCTTCCTGACAATTGCCTTAACTTTGTATAGGTCTAACCACATCTGTGAGATCACCCCACAGATTTGCACACAGCCCCTGAGTAGGCCCTGGGGGTAACTGAGGATATTTTGGGAAGGTCACAGGTGTTCATATATCATTCGTTACCATTTTGAAGTCTAAACTATTTAAAAATAAATACTTATGTTTGTAACATCTTGACCCAGTAGCTCTCAACAGGCCAATTTTGGCCTCTCCCTCCCAGGGGACATCTGACAACTTCAGAAGACATCTCTGATTGTCACAACTCAGGGAGGGGAGCACTACTGGCAACCAGTGGGTATCTGAAAGCCAGACATGCTGCCCAGCATGTGGCACTGCATAGGATAGCACCTGTGGCAGTATTGTCAGCCCAAAAGGTCACTAGTGCCAGGTTTGGGGACCCTGCTCTCAGCCTAGTTGTTTTCAGACTTTGACAAACTTTACCTGCAATTTTCATCTAACCTCTGAGCCTGCTGGCCTGCTGACTTCTCCTTGAACGCTGTCCTTCTTCAGTTGCCCTTCCTCTCACAAAGCCTGTCCCCTCCTCAGAGCCTGCCTTGTCACCAGGCATATGTTGCTTGTCAATCTGTTTGTGTGGTACACAAGGCTCCTGTGCTGTCAGCTCTTCCTTTTGGGGCCTGACCACGGTCCTTGCATACCCAGCCTCTGTCTATGTGGCAGAGTCCTAACCCACACCATTGCCCTCAGGACAACCTGGTCTTCATTGTGGGGAAGCTGGATGGGCTGATGGTCGTGGGAATTCGCAGACACAATGCAGATGACGTTGTGGCCACCGCGCTGGCTGTGGAGCCCATGAAGTTTGTCTACAGAGGCAGGTGATGCGCTGCAGATCCCTGTGCTGGGGGTGGAGTCCTTCTCTATTTAGTGTTTGGGAAGTCACTGCAGTTGGACGAAAGACCAGCAAATCTGAATTCATGAAACCTAAAACTTTCTATAAATCAGAAATGATAAAGAAAAAAATTCTTGCAGCAGTGATACCAGAGTTAATGTCCTCACTGTCCAGAGTTCCTTCAATTCCTTAAGAATATAAAGTTCAAATATATAATTGAGCAAAGAGTCTAGGAGACAGATCAACCACAGAGGGGAAGATAACAAAGGAGAAACAGGGTCCATGTTCCTAATAACTTTAGAAATGCAGATTAAGACAGAAAGTGCTGTTTTCTCTATAAAATCACCAAAGGCTTATCATTCTTTTTTTTTTTTTTTAACTAAAGTTTAGCAAGACACATACAATGCCCTACACTGTTCCTAGACTAAAATTCAATTCGATTTTTCTGCATGAGTTAAGCAAGGAGCTTAGAGATTCTCATTTCCCTTGAGGAAATAAATGGACCTCTGGGCCTTTGCCATTTAGGCACAGGGCACAGGAGCCAGGAGGGGAATTTTGTCTGCTTTTTCCACTCCCAAGCTCTTTGTTCTGGATGAGGCTCTTCTTCTAACTGGCCCACTCAGTCAGCTACCTTTTTAAGTTTTTATTCTTGTAAAGGGAGTGCTCTTTGTTACTCTAACTCAGGTACCTGCTGGCCAGGCCAGTCCCCACCATTCAATAGTCCTCAAGAAATCATCAGGGCATTCTGCCACATGGTAGGTCAAACCAGAGGAAAAGTCCCACATGACAGGAATGACAGGGAAGTAGTGACCTGTTCAGAGAAACCAGCAGGGCAGGCTGTATGAGAGTGTGTAGGGGAAGGTTGGCATAGCCTGGGGCATCACCTGCCCCTCATAGCAGAACCCAGAGACACTTATGGTGCAATGGTACAGGTGTCCTCAGGGATGGTCTCAAGGTAGTCCAAATCCTGCTTTGGGTTAGACTTGGGAGACTGCCTCCTCTCAGGGCAGGAGATGAAGTCCCTGCCTAAATAGGTGCCTAATGAGGTGATACTATCCATTATGACTAGCTGGGGCCTGGATGACTGCATCTGAAGACAGGGTAGCCTATATGTTCCCACTAGGGAAGAGCTGAGGAAGCAGGAACCTCAGAATGAAGCCACAACCAATTGAGTATGTGTGCCATTGGAAGAACAACAGCCAGAATATTAGCAACTTGAAATAAAATGGAGAAATCCTAACAAAGTAATTGTTCAAAGAACACAATAGACAGGATACATAGAGTAGAGTGGATACATAGAGTGGATACAACTAGAGAACAAATTGAGAAGGTGGGAATTACTAAGTAGTAGTCTAAGGAACTACTCTCATCTCTACAATAAATCAAAAAACTACTCTCATCTCTACAATAAATTAAAAAAACTACTAAGTAGTAGTCTAAGGAATGACTCTCATCTCTACAATAAATCAAAAAAATTAGCTGGGAGTGGTAGTGTGCGCCTGTAGTTCCAGCTACTTGGAAGGTTGAGGCAGAAGGATCGCCGGAGCCCGGTAGGTCAAGGCTGCGATGGCTGGGAGCAGCCACTGCACTCCAGTCTGGGTGACTGAGTGAGACTCCAACTCAAAAAAAAAAAAAGGAACTACTCTAGAAGTAACGAAACAGGAACTTTAAAAGAACTACGAAGGGAGATGCAAAAGAAGAAGGACAGATAGCAGACTGGGTGGGGTGGTAAGAAATGTGTGAGGTGGAGGAGGGAGTGTTGAGGAAACAGGAGGTCGGAGTTCTCTGGACTGGGGAACAGGTCCATGAGGGCCCTATGGCATGTCCAGTTTATTGGTGCTCTTACAGTGGACTACAAAAAAGCCAAGCAGAATGCTTTATACATCACCATAGTAGAGTTGGCACAAGATGACAGTACATTAATGTCTTTTAAGTTTTTAAAAGTTTTTTTTCTTTTTTGAGATGGAGTCTCACTCTGTCACCCAGGCTGGAGTGCAGGGGTACACTCACAGCCACGCCAGCGTTGACCTGCCGGGCTCCGGTGATCCTTCCTCCTCAGCCTTCCAAGTAGCCAGAACTACAGGCACACGGTACCATGCCCGGCTAATTTTTTATTTATTGTAGAGACAAGGTCTCACCAAGTTGCTCTGGCTGGTTTCGAACCTGTGGGCTTAAGCAATCTACTTGCCTCGGCCTCTCAAAGTGTGGAATTACAGGCTGAGCCACCAAGCATGGCCAAGTTTTTAAAAGTTTTTAACCCAGTTTTATGTTCATTTAAATTGTCACTTAGTTATCCAGCTATAATAAAAATATTCTCAGGCATATAAATTTCAGAGGTTTTGTTACTCAGAGTTCCATATTGAAAACACTTTAAATAAATTTTTTAATAAAACTTTTAGTAAATTCAGGAAGTTCCACAAAATGTATGAGAGTTAGGAGAACTCAATACTGAGTGAAGTCTGCTTTAGAAAAGTGTGTGTGTGTGTGTGTGTGTGTGTGTGTGTGTGTGTGTGTGTGTGTGTGTGTGTGTGTGTACAACAACAGCCAAAGGAAAGAATAAGAGAAGGTGTACCCATAATGACCCAGAGTTAGAATGGTAGACATTACCTGACAGGATGGGTTCAGTGGGAGAACAACTTCTTGTTTTGTAAGGGAAAAGATAGCAATATCTACTCAAAGTCTACAAGAAGGGAAAAAGCAACACAGAAAAAAAGAAATGTTGAAATTCTTAAAGCAAGAAAGTAGAAACAAGTCCAAATATAGCAATCACAATAAACATGAATAGATTAATTCCATTGAAAGAGAAATTCAAAAATTTGTTGGTTCAAATTTCTGTTGGTTTAAAAAATACTTAACAGAATTTTGAGAGATCTATACATAAATACATTGCATATTAACATTAAAGAAATATTTCTTTTAAAAATGTGTGCCTGACTGTTTTGCTTTATGCTGAAATCCTCTCCATTTTTGTGAATTTAAACTTACTTCAACTATCCTGGAGATAAGGATGACTGGTTACTTTGAATCTGCAGCAATCAGTCCCATGTTTGTTAGGCTGCATTTTAAACATTGGTACAGCCAGTGTCTTCCATTTCAAGGGTGAGAGGGCATCTCTGTGTTATTTGGCCTCTTGCCATGTGGTTATTTCTGCTGTCTTGCCCCTCAGAATTGCTGTGTTTTCTGTGACTGTGCTGCATGATGACCGCATTGTCTTGGTGGCTGAGCAGCGGCCTGATGCCTCGGAGGAGGACAGCTTCCAGTGGATGAGCCGCGTGCTGCAGGTTGGTGCTTCAGGGCTACCCTGTGGTTCCATAAACCTTCCAAGCTGCCTCTGCATGTGTGAATAGGAAGTCTGCTCCATTCTGAGTACAATGTGGTGGGCTTGCTCTGCTCATCCTCCCTGCCTCCAGCTTGTTTATTTTTAAATGTAAAATTGACAAATTATAGTTGTATGCATTTATGGGCTACAAAGTGATGTTATGATTTTTGAATGCAATGTGGAATAATTAAATCAAGCTAATATTCATCACCTCAAATACTTTTTTTTTTTTTTTTTTTGAATTGGAGTCTCACTCTGTCGCCCAGACTGGAGTGCAGTGGCCACTCCTGGCCACCGCAGCCTCAACCTGCTGGGCTCCAGCGATCCTTCCGCCTCAGCCTTCCAAGTAGCTGGAATTACAGGCATGCGCTACCATGCCC